CCCCAAAACCCCAAAACCCCAAAACCCCAAAACCCCAAGTAGATAAATTTATTTGTGGGTGGTGATTGTATTAATTTTAAAATTAATCTAAATAATAAGCATTAGTATCAAAGCAGCAATATTTATTGTGTGAATACATATATATCATTTTATAACCTTCATTTAAATTTGCTCAATTTTAATTGTTCATTGAGTTTATGATCTCCCTAGAGAAATCAGTCTTTAATTAGCTTGGGAAGGAATGGACTTAGCTGAATTTATCCTTAATTAGCTGTTCATTTTTGCCTTCTATATTTGTATTTATCAAGACTTAATTTTTCTTGTATTCTTGAACTATAGTATTAATTATCTCTTTGTATCTAAGGACATAGTGGACACTGGTTTCAATCAAGCTTACATTAGTTATAAGTATCTAATTAGTACCTTGATACTCTTTAATCATATCAACCGCTTCCATTTTGATAAGGTTTTGCAGCTACTTAGAGATTAATTCGTTTCCATCAAGCAAGCATTTGATGATTTGCATAACTGTGAAAACCATGATCATAGGTGGAAAAGACTTAAAGTAAGGATCTAACTAGAGTAGATCCAGGATATCAAGATAAATAAAGTATTCTTATTAAGTTATTTATTTTTATTAACTCTGTTTCTGATTCAAATAAATCATGTTTTGATGCATCATGTCTAGAGCGGTTGCTCCTATGAGCTTGCAGTCTAGATACTGCAAAATCTTTATCTCACTTTCCCTGAGCTACTAAGAATTATTGGTTTATTTAACGCTGAGTTAAAATAGCTAAAAGCTTGGAGGAGAAACCTCGTTAATTTTGCTAGCAATAAATAAACTCATGGAAGCATAAGCCTCAAGTCTTTATTGATCGATACTTTCTTTGTACTAGAAAGACTTGAGGATTACTTAATCAAAGTAATGTAGGCCCAAATGGAATGTAGATTTTTGAAGCTTATATGTAGTACAAAATTGAATCATCCAATCTGCTATTGATATTCTATGCTTGATACTTAAGAACTTGCTTGCAAAGATATTATCTAAAATATGTTTTTCTAACATAGGCTCTGACTAAAGATATTTTATTGAGACAGGAACTTGTATCTATTGACAGACTGAATTTGAAATTTCCGCAATTGCTCCTTCTCTTTGTCCAATTCTATTGTTACATATGTGTTTGTCGTTTATTGATTTTTTTTAGTCCTTGTCATAAGCAAGATTGTGGTTATTTTTTTAGCTCGAAAGTTCTTCATTTTCGAGGTCAACTAGAAAAATATCCTCACTGCAGTCAAGATTGCTTTCATTGTTAGAATCTTCATTAATTGATTCAAAGTTACCGGCCTCACTCGAATGATAGCTGAAGTCCCGGTAGTTCATTTGTTGTTGAAGAGTTTACATAGATGATGGAGTGTTAGAATATGTGCCGAAATCGCTATCATTTTTGTAGAGTGCTAGCTTATCATTCTACTGTCCTTAATTGCAAAAGATAGTTGATATTTTCTTCTGCTTGCTTGGGAAGAGATTATTAGAATCTAATTCTGATCTTAAATTTAAATCGTATGATAGAGGTAATTAATTCTGCTTGTTTAAACCTGATACTCTTAAACAAGCCAATTTTCTTCTCTTATTTTAGTTAATGTTTTACTAGCTACCGTAGTTAAGCTCTTAGTGTTATCTCTTCATACCTAAAATATATATTAAGTCTTGTGTTTCTTTTGGAAAAGTTTGTCGGAGGTCATCTTCTCCTATCTATTTACTAAGATATACTCTCGACTTTTCGCCAACATTTTCCGACCTTAAATCAACATAACTTGCAATGATAATGCAAACGCTGTTGACTTTGATAGTGAGACTTATCTTTGAAAGATATGTGAGTGTAGTTGAGAGATCTCATCAGTTAATTGTAAGATGACGCTGGGTGAGTACTTACCTTATATTATTGACTGCGGGAATAATAATTAACTTTTAATTTATTGGAAAACTTGAATATTTTAGAGCCATTTAACGACAAACTATTCAAAAATTCGCGCAGGAGATCGTTAAAATACTCAAAAGAAAATCTCAAACATCTGTAAGCAGCAATCAACTTGACTGCAGAAGAGATAGTGGATAGACTCCTGAAATTCAAGATTATTCTACAATTGTGAAAATAGAGTATTAAACTGATAGAATAAATCGACAAAACTAGGTCCTTTATCATAATATGAAGAAGATAGTTTTTCATAATTAGGTTTTAATATATTAGGTTGATAAACTATCATTTTATTTGATTCAAAGCAATAAAACCAAGCCAGCTGATAAATGTACCTAATCTCCCAATTTATATTGCTCAATATATGCGAAAGTGTTATTCACGTCGTTGGTTAGACCTTTTACTATACAAGTGATTCGAAATTCATCCTTCTAGGAAAATTTCAAATCATTAAGGTTTGATATAAATAAGACTCCATACTAATTCCTAAATAAATTTTATATTAACTATTTAATAAGTTGCTATTAATGTAATTAATTAACTGAGAGTTAAAATCTGATTGACATATTAATTTTAATTCAAACTGTAGTCAACAAATCAATATCAATTAAATCATAACTGATTAGTTTGCAGAATGCTCTATTTTAAAAGAGAATCTTACTTAATATACCTTAGCAATAACAATAAATTGTAGATAACTTTCTGAATAAAGAATTAATGCATTTTCGCTGATTGATTAAAGTCATAATGATTATAAAACTTAAGAAATTTATCAAATATAATTAATCATGCATTGTAAAGTCTAGCAAAATCTCTAAATGCTATATTTCCAGTTCCGTTAGGATCACACTCAGCGATTAATTCTTGAATTTCAACATCAGTAACAGGGAATTCGAGATAGTTTGGTAGAACCTGCTTTAGATCATTAGCTGTGATGTATGATTTGTCTCTTTTATCAAAGAGTCTGAAACAGTCTCTAGCCTCTTCCTCTCTTCCACCTTTGTTCCATCTGTATGATACTGCTAATCTAACTGAGTCAAAATCAACAAAGGTCCTCTTGTTTGGATCGATATCGTTTTTCTTAAGTTCATCATCGATTTCTTTCTTAGTCATTTTATTGAAACCGAAGTTGTGTAAGATGTTTCTAAAGTGAGTGATAGTGATTTAACCACTGTCCTCCTTGTCATAGAACTTGAAAGCATCCTAGAGATCTGATAAGATTTCACCTGGAAGTGGATAGGTGCTGAATTGTCTAGTATCAACTATAATATGAAGTTTGAGATAAGCTTATGTTCAAAGTAGTTGGTTACTTACCTCTTCTTTATTGATTCATTTTTATTTCTTAGAAATTTCAATTATTATTAATTTTCAAATTGAACTTACATTTCATTCTGGGGTTTTGGGGTTTTGGGGTTTTGGGG